TGGTCTAGCAAGTCCCCCCCCCCCCCCCCCCCGCACAACCATGCTCAAAATCCACACCAAGCAAGAGCCATACCTCTCGCACGCGCCCAAGAAGCCGGGCGTGGCTGGCGATCACCGCAGCCCTCATGCTCTCCGCCTCCTCCTCTAGCCTCTCAAGGATCTTATCACACTTCTTCCTTCTCCTTTCGCGCGTTCCTCCCTTCCCTTCCCTCGCTGCCCCCTCGCTGTTGTGCTTGTGCTGGCGCCGCTCGCCGACCGCAAGAGACTGCTGGATCTTCCGCATCAGCCCGTTCCTCTGGCGCTGGAAAGACGCGGCCTGCACCTCCATCTCCGCCTGCAGTTTCTCCAGCCCCTGCAGCAACGCGTCCGCCTGTCTCCGGGGCAACTGCGGGGGGCTGCTGCTGCCACCATCGTTGCCATCGGCGGCAGCAGCCGTCGCCGCCGAGCTGGTGGCAACAGCCCCGGCCGTCTCCGTCCCGTACCTGCCGCCGCCGCCGCCGCCGCCGCCGCGGTCGCCTCGACCGTCGGCGGCCCCTTCCCGTACGTTTCGCCACAGGATGTTGAGCTCATCCCCGAGTACGTCGGTGCCCCGCTCCATCTCCTCCTGGGCTTCTCGCAGGAGGGTCCACAGCCGGGGCGACCCTCGCTCCATAGCCGCCGCCGCTACCCCCGGTGTTGCCATCGTTGCTGTCGGTGGAGGTGGTGCCGCCGCTGCTGCTGACGGGCGCTGCCGCCGCCGCATCCGCCGCCTACGCGGCGACAATCTCCCGACGCTGTCGTCGTCGCTGTCGCAAACGGCGTCGCCGAGGAGGACGTTATCATTGTCGGCCTCCTCTCCCCCCTTCCCGAAAACGGGCTGCTTAGTGCGGCGTGGGCGTCGGCGTGGAGGTGACTGCTGTAGCATTGCCTGCTGCTGCTGCTGCAGCTGGTTCTGCTGGTGCTGGTGCTGCCGCTGCCGCCGCGCTCGAACTGGTGATACTTTCGGGGTATCCAGAGTCAGCAGCTGCATGCTCGACGGGACTTCCAAGTGCAGGCCCCGAGTTGCTAGACGGCAAAGGGGGTGCTGCTTCTAGAGTACCTGGAACACCACGAGGCAGCGATGTTGGGAGTCAGGGGGGCTTCTGCCTTTACGGCAGGGCGAGTTCCGCCACGGCGGTTTGCTGCCGACGGGGCTATGCAGAGTCGGTGGCGAGGGGGGTGTGAGGTATCTACCGTATGTTTACTGGCCTCTACAATCTCTCCTTCGTGTGCTCGACGGTGGTGAGGGGGATTCTGCTTCATGCACAGCCGTGCATAGGTCTCGGACCACAGGATTCGAGACTGTTTGCCCAACCAGGCAGGCGTTGCACCCAGACGGCGGTGTTCGTCTTGAGCGAGTCGCGTAACGGGCGAGTCCCCGCCCGTATGTGGCTTGTATTTAGAGGACTCTTCTCGCGCTCCGTGCTTACGCTGCGCTCTGGTACGAAGGACAGTTTGTTTCCGATACGATTTTGGTTGCCTTTCGATGTGGCATAGATATTTCCAGAGACGGCCGAAAATAACCTTGCTGCTGTTGTGGCTGGCAACCTCTGCTGTCCCACAGTCCCACACGACAAAAACGGTCGAAACACCATCTGTTTTTGCTACATATGAAGGTCGTCTCCGTGCGTAGAGTGGGTGCTTTGCCCAGCTCATCCCAATTGATGTTTGCTCAAGGGAGGGAAGCGGGGGTATTTGTAAGGGCCCTTACCGTTAGTTGGTGTTCACTTTGCACAATCGGCGCTACTGCTTGCGCAAGACTGTTGGGCAAAGAGGAAAGCGGCACAACCAGTCTACAGCAGCACAAGCCTACCCTACCACAAGGAGAGGCTGGGAGGGACATGAAAATTGCGACGAAAACATGCGAGAGTCCTTAGATACCACGCCAACAAACACACACAGAACGAAAGGCAGCAGGCCAAAACGAACGGTGGGTTGGCAGGCCGACTCTACCGGCTAGCCTGGCGGCATTTCGTTTCCACTCGACCTGTATCCGAACCAAACACCCTGTGTAAGAAAGATCTGATGCATGCATGT